ACTTTTAGAAGTAACTCTGCAAAGTGATTTACAAAGCCTCACCAACTCGTCTTGATGTGATGCGCCATCCACTTTATATTCACCAAGTCCATCGGAGAAAACAAAACATAACCAACTCGATCAATAATGTTCTCCATTGGCATAGCAAAAGCTATCAATCTCCTTGAAGACTCCTCCGATGCATTGAAATCGGTGAAATTTGAAAATATCACGCGGTTGCGCAGGAGAATGAAGCGAAGCATTTGGCCATTCAAATCTCTAATGTTTGCTACTCTGTGTACTGAAATGAACTACACCTCCACAGCGATGTCCACAACTACACCTTCTGAATACTGCAAACCCGATATTTTTCGTCTAATTTCCCTCTTCACTTGATGTGTCAAGCTATACGTGACTGCAATTCAAAAGCAAGTGGTTGTGACACTTTGCTTATGTGGCTACTTATATGACTAACGGTCACTTTGGTACCTATTTTCCTCTTACGCGGATGAACTAGCCTGCAGGACCAGCCAAACCCAGCTTCCCCACTTTCTCCTTGAATGCATGCATTCATTCCCAAATTAATGCCTTCTTCCATCTGGCGGGAAGTCTTAAGCCACCAACGCGGCCAAAACAGAAGATCTCACCTCCACCACGGTTCTTTTATAGCCTTCCGAAAAAACGGCATTCACTTTCACCATCAAAATCCGATAAGAGTAGTAAAAATTCACCCCAAAGAAAGTTCGAATCTAGAACGCAAAAGGGAGCTCTTTCCGGTTCATTTCGCATAAATTACTAACGTGATTAAGCGCACCTCTAGGAGACCGTTTCCGTTCCATCACCTAAGTGCCTAATTACTAAATAATAAGCGATGAGAATGCAGCACGAAACCTAGGACAGGAATCCAACACCCACCAATTTAAGGTAAAAAAACAAGGATTTCATTCCAAAGTGAGATGTCTGAAAGTTCCCTTGATCCATTGAATAGGAATGGAAATGCCTTTATTTACCCTGTCCAGTGAAGTATTCGGAAAGCGCCGACAAACTCAACAGCGCTCAATCGCGTTGCTCAGAGTAGGCTTTGACTCCAACTTATTGCATTTCAATCGTCTTCTGTGTCTGTATAAGAGGAATGGACCCTTTGGGAATTCCACCGTCCCAATCTCAGATCCGCAAATTAAGCGCCTTTGTCTCCACATCACTGTTAATTTGTCTTAATGCTTTACTCAGATTCGATCGCATTATTCCATTTTTAAAGTTGAGAACGCACAGCATGACGACTACGCATGCATACATAAAACTGAACCCCGTCTTGCCCAATATGTCTTCCGAAAATTTGCAACATTCAACTTCAAAGATTAGGTTCTTGCCTAATTTCGCTAACACCGCGGACTATAAGAGAAGGTGAAAAAAAGTTAGGCGCTCAAACCCAGAGACTCTTTTGATGAAGTCATCTTAAATAGAAGCCTCAAACAGACGAACCTTACAACCACCTTACCTCCTTCCTAAGCAAGGTTTACCTAACTCTACGTTACATTCTGCAGGATACCAGCCTTATTCATTCGCAAAAGTTTCGCACAGATAAGCGATCCCATGCTATTTGCATATTTTTGAACATGTATATTACATCCAAACGAATCACCGTGTTGCCGTCCCAACGCGCCATGGGTCCGAATGGTTTACGGAACCCAAATGCCAAGAATTTTAGTCGCAGTCACGGATTCTATAACACTGGCAAAACGAGTCCCATCAACGCATATCACCCAAAACCTAAATCCCATTAGACGATCAAATCACAAGCACTGGGAAAAATGCTGGATAGCACAACATTGTTTGGTCCCATGAAATGGATTTCGATCTTATCTGACCTCTACCACTAAAACTTCGCACACCAAAGGCAGCTCCACCTACATGTGACTTACCTACTCTAAACCAGTTTACAAAGGAGAGATGAATACAAAACTCCTACAGGTAGAGCGGGTTGAGCCCGACCAGTCCAAAATAGGTGATGTAGCTTTACTAGAATTATAAGTTGCGCCCGTCATTTATGCTAAGAAATATGAAGCGATTTTCCCGTAAATCACTGCACTGTAAGAAAAGCTTTTCGCTCCCCGAAACCGATTGAATCCTGTAGAAAATCGAATGCACCCTCAGCTACATTTGCAGTATGAAACGTGAATCCTGATCATCACCAACTTCTGCCTAAAATCAATCATAACAGAATCAAACCCACCTGAAGAGACGTTGAGAGACAATAGTCTTTTTACCTAGGGCCGAGTGCGTCAAAAACAGGTTTTAGCGGTTCATACTCACCCGCACCCGAAAATGTCAAAGAGATTTCCTCCTAATCTTGGACCATTTATTATGGCCCTAGCCAAGGCTGAAGCAAATAAATGAGACATATTCAGTTTAACTACGAATTTCAAGAACTCAATTCCCTCGACTTGTTAACTTAGGCGCATTACTTAAAGAATTTACGGTCTACTCAAAAACAATAGAGGGAAGCAAAATTAATGCAGGGAATTCGCATCCAAACGGCAAAATAATCCCCAATAAAAGCATAATACTCCCACCCACTAAAACCACCAATATAACCCTTTATGCTAGTTTTCAAGTCAGAATTGCCATCAAAGATCTTTCACATTTAAGAGATTCTAATGTGCAAAATGGGATGAGTACACTCCTAATCGGCAATATCAGACGCTACTCGCCTTAATAAGTAGAATACAATGTTAATGGAAATTGATTCCAGGGTGAACAAAGTGGCTTATTGGCTGCCCTGGTGTGAGGTCAAAGATACAAAATTTAGCATGCACAAACTGGTAAATAATGAAAGAATAAATAAGAAACTGGCGATAGGGGAGAAGGGCCGTGCTTGTTTCCGCGTTAGCACAAAATGTGCATGTAGCCACCTTGGAATGTCAGGAATTTTCAGACAGCATGGTCTCTATGGTAGTTCTGATCACAGCCAAAAGAGGTTGTCTTGGCGGACGAAACTCGGCACCTCTCCTTTTCACCCAAAGCTGCCTCTCTGACAACGACTCATTCCAAGTGCCTGTGCGAGGAAAGAGTGGACGGAATATGGCAATCAGCTCTAATGTAAACGATCAGCTTAGCGTATGGGCAAACGAATTCCCAGTCACTACAGACATGCGACGACGTCAGTTCCAAAAGTAGCAGTCTTAGAGCCTTTAGCGCCTTATTCATCGTTCGGTTCGGATTTAAAGACCTGATTCTTCATGGCGTGGATGAAGGAAACTCGGAATCCGATCGCGTGCAAATTATGTTGAATAAGTTCCTCTTGGCATCAAGAGGTGCCATGTCTTCAAAAACCTGGACTAACGATTGTTTTTAACAGCGAGTCTACTCATCTAGGAAACAACCAGAGTGAACTCAGAAAAGGGATGAAACAACCAGCCTCTCCGAAGGAAAAAAGGAAAGCAATACAAAAAAGCAGCAACACCGACTAGTGACGGCCCACAAAATGTAGTCCAGTTATTCAATTTAGCGGGCTATTATCACCTGAACATCCTCGTGACCGCTTATTACGATGCGAGATGGCTAGCGATGCAGGAGGTACCACATCAGTTCATGTGATTTCACACAAGACTAACTCCTGTCGAAAAAGCGTGCCTTGTGCAGGCATGAGTTTGGAGCTGAAAGACGGGATAATTCGGGCGCTAGAACAAATAAATGATTACCGCAAACAAATTAGTCTTGTTTTTTGCGACTGTCAAAAGCGTGTAACATCCACTCACATGGATAGCCACTAATTCTTCAAACGCTACAACTCGACTGTATTACAAATAAATGAGTTAAATAAAGGACCCGCGCCCTCAACTCGCTGCCTCGCCTTTCAAATTAAACCATCAATTTTCAAACGCTCTCGCTACCACAAAGCTAACTTTTTAAGCGTAATGAATCTCAATATCGAGAATGCATTCAAATTGAATAACACCTAGTATGACCTGAGGAAATATTTATGATGGAATAATTACCAATCATAACTATTATGCGCTTAGTAATGTCGGAATCAAGAACCTAAATCCCATCCTCCAGACAAAATGATGAGGTGCGAAGTGTACTACCGTCAATCAACTCACAGAACAAAGTCTATTTGTAAAAGAAACTTAATAAACATCTTTTAAAATCCCAATGTAGGGTTTAACATACCGACTTTACAACAAAGTCAACGTTTGCCTTGACAATTGTTTGTTCGCTCTCCTCCTCCCTCCCCTCAAAACCAAAACCTACTTTAAGAACTGCACAAATACAATAAAATACAAGCATCTCATAACGAAGCCAGAGCTGAATTCACCAACACTTTGGACAGAATATTCTGTTCATTATACGTAAAATTATTGTTCCCACCGAAGTCACAAGTTCCCTAAATTATGCGAAGCCGACGATGAAATCTTACAAAATCTCTGCAGAAGGTGACAAGAAATCACGAACGGTCTACTTTTACGAACTTTCGATTATAAATGGGTTCCATCGCTCCAATTGCATATCAAATAGCATATAATGGCCGCCTACTCTATCATCACTTCTATGAGCAGGACAAATGATCCAATATTTTTAATCGTTTAATAGTCGGATTACTTCATTGCCTGAACCCAGAAGTTACTTCTGGAGATAATTCTAAAGTTACCGCACTGACCACTTCAGCGAATTTCTTACACCGACACCCAAACTAACAAAATAAACCCCAGCTTATTACTCACTAAACGAGCGGAGACCTAGGTAGTTGGCCGTGGCATGAACAAGCATCCTCTGGAAGCCATTAAGAGCCAACAGAAGTCCACGAACCCACGGCCTTCCTCGGTAGGTTTGATTCGATGAAATCGAAGACCTGAGGAGACTCGTGGAGGGTGTCCACACTCGGACAGGCGACTCCACCACTCCAAAGACATTCCGCAACTCGGTCTCCACGCGTTGGATAAGACAGAGGTCCTGAACACAAAAGCGTCTCTGTTTCTTGCGCCCGCCTTTTACACCAGCGCGGCTGCTCACGAAATCCTGTTCTCGGTGCTGCTGTTCCACCATGTTGCGAATAAATTGGAGCAGTTTCGGTGAGATAACGCCTGATGCGGGAAGGACTGCGACATCAGAACTGACGTCTTGTGGGGAGAGAGGATCTGGTACCAAGGAAACTACTCTACCCTCTGATGGGGTCGCGAAGTCTTCCACGTCGCACAATACCTCTAAAGTGGTATATTTATTTTTGGAAAACTTTTACAACACTAAAATAGCTGCGTTAGACCTCAGCATAACCTGACTTGCCAAGAACGTTTGCTAAATAGTGGCTTTAAAACTCACGCGTATAAAGAGAAATGATGCGTTAGTGGTATTACGTGCTTTATTTTGCATTAGTGGCCAGTCCACATTTCCACTGCACTATAGCCACCTAGCTCTGCCTTAAGTGAGCAATAAATTGATCTCCACACCTGCTTGCTTTATTACGGCCTCAGGAGAAGGCAGACACCATTGCACTAGTAAAGCCAAACTACTTGGCTTTTTTGAGGGGATGCAAAATAGGAGCCTTACCGAAAGCATCGATTGACATCTCCATTGGATCCTCGAAAATGGGTTCCAGATGTACAACAGGTCGCTGACGTGAGCGGCCCTTATTTTTACGACGTTGACGACCACAACTGTTGTTTCTATTAGCGTTGTTATAATTCCTTGGTGAGGGGTGTGCAGCCATACCATTGCCCATGTCAACGTCAAAATCATTACTAAAAGCTGAGTGGGAAGCGAGACTGCCAAGGAGTTCGATCTGCTCCGTCTCCGAGAGGGAGATAAACGCGTCCCATATCTCGCGAATACTAGATGGGAAAGGTCCGGAAAGACGGGTTCCTCGTTTATTTCTGCAGAATCTTCCACTTAATGAGCAGTTGGACAGTACCAACAATTTTTTCTCTCGATTGCGCAATGACGAGGACCGAATTAAGGAATGTGACAGGAAGTTAGTCCAGATAAGACAAAAGCGCAATCTGAGGTCAACAGCAAGTGTTACGAGGTTCACCTTAATTACAACAATGTCGTGGGAATGCGATCTGCATACGTTTTGAAGTCTTTCAATCGGTATTCAGAAAGTAACACAGGATCCATGCCTTATTTCCCAAATTTTAACCTCAATTCAACGTGATTCCGACATTAGCTTCGAGATGCTCACGTGTGTAGGGTAGTTAAATCATAAGGAAAATGACTTGCTCGTCATCTACGAAGAGGCACTTGAATCCGGTGTCCCCAGTGACCCTATCAACCCAGTAATCTTCCATGTCGTCCTCGCCACTAGCCTCCGTGATCATGGCAAGGGTGCTCAAATAGGCGTCTGAAAAAGGTAAGTCGAGAATTACACTTAATAAAAATAACAGTGACTGAGGTTGAGAGAGGTGCCTGCCATTTTCATAACGTCGAATGGCCCTGGCGCCTTTTTTTTGGCGGATACGACCCTCCGAAGGTTGAGACTGCTTCTTGCTTCGAAAACGAGAGGAGAATGGAAGGACAATAGAGAGTTCGGAGGTCTCACTCTCAGAAGTTCCATCAAAATCCGAGTAATGAGTGAGCGACTGAATGCGTAAGCTACGAGGAAATGAGGAAAGATACACAATCAGCTTTATTTATGCAGAAGACCTGTACCATAAAGAAATACAGTGTCAATGAGAAAAGTGCTAGAATACTCGCCTATTTCATGAGGCTTCAGTGAGGAGAGGATATTCTTTACCTCGTTCATCGAAGGATAAACTAATGTCAATTGCAATTCTCCAATGAACGGTACTCCATTTCACTTTTAGAACAATCACAGTCGAAACAGAAGTCGCAACGGGTGCCGAAAAGCTACCGCAAGTATGACGTCCCATAAAAGCCCTACTCTCAAAACCATTTCTAAATTCCGTATGTATAGGAGCCAGTGCATCAAAGATTCGCGTCGAACAACAAAGACAAGTCAGAGGGATCCAAATGTAACAAGTGTACCACCCAAAACCCAGCGCTAATAAATAAGAACACTTCGAAATAATAACATACATATTTCATAGAGTGATAGCATAATTAAGGCGCCACAACCTACAGTCAAACCATAGCGAGTCAATCAACATGAACATGGTTCAGTGACATAGCTACTTAATAACCCAAACAGACTATCGCAACAAAGCCACGGATAAAACAGCCTTAGGGAATCAATGATGAGGCTGCATAGGCAAACATAACCACTAACAGGGAAAAAGGAAAAAATACTTCCTAGTGAAGAGGAAAGAAGAATTCAGTGGTCTATGTATGAAATATCCGATAACAACCAAGGCCATACAATCAGTCGTTCATAAAAGGAGAGAGAAATCAGGAATGCGGCTATTAACGGCAAAAGGTAGAACAGCACCACAACCATAACTATGGAACATTGAACAGGAGCAAAGGAATAGATAAGAAATGTTGGTCGATGGAAGACGATGACCAGTTAGGCCTACGATGACAGAGGTAAAAATAAAAATGAGTAAAGCATACAATAGCAGATCTAACCTCATCCTAAGGCCTGGAAAATGACTTAGAGTACTGGTCGCAGAATTCAATACAAGCGCTACACCGAAGGAACTAAACAAGATCAATTTATCAGCTTAAGAAGAATGTAAACATAGTACTCAAGTCATATTTTGGCGGATAAAAGCATGATTGCCAAGCACGTCGACGGCCAATTTTGAGGGTAAAATGGCAAGTTAGCACTGAGACATTAATGAAAACAAAAGCAGACGGGGACTTGGGACGAATATGCAGCTGCTGAACGGGACGATCTACTTAGAAAATCAACAGGGACACCAGGGAAACCGTGACTGGTACGGGGAAATATATACAAAAACCGTTGTGCCTAAAATGCTTTGTTTGTGCGACCACCTGATGTCTGACGGTAACTTTTGGATTCGTCTTGCATTTGTACCAACGAACTGGTCTCTGGGCTAAGCCAAGGCTCAGTATCTTCTTATCATTTTAGATTACATGCACTTAGATGAAATTCGTTTCCTCTTCTACCTAATAATGATCCTCGGAGGGAGACAAACTCAACTATTCTAAAGGGCTTCAACCTTAATATCTGCCTTTTTCAATATATCCTTACGATGCGGAGGAAGCGCATATATTTCGGGCAGGAGATTCTCCGAAATGTTCATAGAGAAAGGGTTGGAATGGTGCTTGCTCTTAGCTCCACCTTGTCTCCGTGTTCTGTCGACAAGTTATTAACGCCTGAAGCGACACTGCCATGGGCCATCTAATATTTGCACTGGAATTCTCCTTACTGCATCCACGTATAGGTTCATGGATGACGCTACTGCAAAAATCCCTATGTAGTGCCCGGGACTTCCACCAGGTAGAAAAAGGCAGCATATTGACCAATGTATAATTATTTGGAGAGAAGAGGAAAAGATAAAGTCTTGGCATGGGCCGAAGGCCAGCCCACAAGTACAAGGGCAAAACAAATACCCGAGTAACCGATCGATAGCTAGTGATCGCATAAACAAAATATTACACTGCCATTCTTTCCATTTTAACAGCGTCCTCGGTACTCTCCTTGGTACGCCCCCCGTGTCGGCCATCCCAACGTATTCACAGTCACAGGAGAACACCCATAAGCCGGCTGCACCAGTCATTGGCTAATATGGGACTATGGTATGGCACTTTGTCTCTTCAGTAATTCAACTGAACCCGTCAGAACCAGAACCGCATGCATCCCTTGACTTTCAATTACTTTCAGGATTAGGTGCTGAAACAATGGTCTAAAAAGGTGTCTAAATGGGAAGGACACAAATAAAAAAAACCTTGTATGGAAAAGGGTTAAGCTTGGTATATGTGACTAACTGATATCTGGCGGCTACTTTGCTGTTTGTTTCGCCCTTGTTCGTTTGACTGGACTTCGGCACATGCCAAGACTTTATCACTTACTCTTCTCTAAGAATATGTGTATTCCATCCAATGTGACGCACTTTGCTACCTGATGGAAGTCTCTGGGTGCTACAACAACCTTTTCTCTTGTTTCTTATTAAGGATGTCCAACTAAATCTATTGTCTCCGTCATCGGATTTAAGTTCTTGGTACTCCAAGTCATGAGCAAATCAATACCAATCGCGATAGCAAAGCTCGATAATTTGGGTCAGGTTTGAGAGGCCCAATGCGGAATTTGAGTACTTACATTCGAAAAAGGAAAGGCAGACATGGGTGTAAAGTTGACTCAAGAGCCATCTCATCCAGATAAAGCAAGATTGACGAGAATGTGACCGTCAGTCACTTAACAAAGTGTAGCATTGATTGAAACGAAACTGGTTAGGTTAATGTATTGCTTGCGAATTTTAATGGGATATAAGCGCTTGTTTTCCCCTAATCTACTAATTTGTTTGTGCGACTATCTGTATGATTAGCGGTCACTGTTATTGGTCACGCCCTGGTGCAGTTGGACTGCCTTCCAGACCAATTCCAAGTCCATTCTCTTCATCTCTCCTACCTAACGTATTATTAAGCTAACTTACAACCTTCTGTGCAGTAAAAGGCTTAAAACGCTGCACCAGCTACATAAACTTAGTCTGATGAATGCCTTGTGTGACAACAAATTAAAGCACTTGTTGCAATCAACTTTATGAGGACGAGTACAAGTCCTTGCTTGCCCAATTAATACGGGCTTAAACCTTTATAATTTTCATTGGCTGACAGCGAAAGTCCGCTAAGGAAATGTCCATAAATTTTTAACGCAGCATATAAAGTTGTTTTAATGGATCACCTGGTGTCGAATTACTTTCGTTATACGTCAGATACCATAAGTATACGGTTTCATGATGTCACGTACGGGAACTTCTCGTTACTTCGATCCAAATGTGTTGTTCAGATTTCGCGATATGTACGTTTCGTTGACTGAAAAAGTTATAGTACTCCTCACGATATGCTTCCTGCGCTGCGCTCTTTGTTACTGGCATTCTCATTTTCACCATCTCCCATGCCTAACGTCACTTCTTTTTTGGTTGTTTTGAGTCTTCAAAGCCCTACTTGGGTGTCTGTTGTCGTTGTCTTTACTCTAAAACAAGTTTTAAATATTTTAGAGAGAAACCTGTTCAGATCCATCTCAAGAATGTCTACAGTCTTCTCTCGGTGGGACTTATTGCGGCATCAATCGGGTCGTTTGTTTTTGCGACTTCTTCATTCATTCAGGTATTTGCATTACTTGACCGTGACTGTGGACATGATGTAAAAATTGGTTCAGAAGAAGCAAATGAATTTATCACCTTTCCTTCCTTTACAGTACTGGGGCTTTGGTACTTTACTCCTCTCCGCGGTAGTCTCCATTGCTTCCTGTTGTTACATTATGTTCACGGAGCATACTGAGTCTCGGCTTTGGAGCCGAATGGTGGCCTTCCTGGTGTTCACGCTCTCCACGGGTGCGTTATTTCTGTTTTTCCCACCTGAGATAACTTTATATTACGTGTATATAGCCATATCTGGATCGTAACTGCATCCTTTGCTGATTGTTAGTGTTGCTGGGTCTTCATTCTTGAAAGCTCTTTTTGGTAGGTGTGGGACTTGGACCGTTAGTGAACTTCGCCCTCCAAGTAAATCCGTCCTCTCTGCCGGCTGCACTTTTGGGAACGGCAATTATTTTCGTCGCCTTCACTTTCGCATCGCTTCTCACTCGTAAACGTGCTTTTATTTACCTAGGAGGTAGGCTTTTGAACTCAGTCGAGTTTACCTAATGGTATTTCGGTTCCGATCTTGAATTTAAGCCAGTAGTTTGCGCACCTTTTATGCACTAAACGTCAAGGAGGATGAGGTGGCAGACCGGAAGACGAGCTAATAAACGCTGTATTATGGTCATCCTTGATATCATGATACAGTTCTCACTTGCTTTCTAGGTATTCTTGGGATGGCCATTGGCGTCATCTCTACCTTCGGACTTATGAATTTATTCCTGCGATCGCCGGCTCTTTTCCAGGTGGAACTTTATCTTTCATTTCTCATCTTCTGCGGTTTTGTTGTGTACGATACTCAACTCATTGTATTCAAGCGTCAATTAGGGGACACGGACTTTATAAGGTATGTTTTGCTTAGTGCTTCGGTCGAAGCGTTCAAGTTTTGTATCTAATTATGACTTAAGACGGCCATTTTTGACGTAGCTAAAACGGCCCTTTGGCCCGTTGTGGATGGGAACTGTTTGCTCCTTGTGGTTTATTTTCACGAACGTGTTTGCTTGCCCTCATTTTTGGCCCAATTTTGTTCTCTTGGCTTCTGACATTTGACGTTTCATTTTTTTCAGACATGCACTGGACCTTTTTGTTGACGTCGTTGAATTGTTTCGTCATCTTTTGATTATCCTCAACTCAAAAAGGGTGAGTTTTCCCCTTTACTACTAGATTGTGCTGGATCTTTTTTGTGTTTTTGGTTGATTATACGGTAGCATTTACAGTGGTTTCGTTTTGAATTCATTTTCTGGTTCTGGATGTCGTTTTTAACTGTCCTGCTATCGCCGATATTGGAATATCTGAGGTGATGTTATGCATCTACTGTACTGTGATTTTGCTTGCGTCACGATTTGCGCTGGTTTCGAGGTTGTTATCTTGTGCTTTTTCTTTGCGGTCTTTGATGTAGTAAGTTCAGTCAATTATTTCTTTTTCAGGAGCGCAATGAACGTCGAGAGTAATGTCAGCCTTGAAGAGTCTCTTCGAGACGATTAAAGCATCGCTGTAACGTCAAGTTGGATCTTATTTCATAATAAACCCACAGTCCAACGACAGTGCTATTTCATCTTGTCGCTTACAAATATTTCAGTTTCTAAAACATGTCGTCTCTTCTCTAAACGACTCGTTTCTTTGGAAGTACCTGTCAACATCTAGACTTAACCAATTTTGGGATTACAAATACTAACATAGTGGCGATCTTGTAATTGTCACTGCTAGTTGGAGGCTACCGATCGAACTTTTTAGTTCTCCCATCGTAACAGGGGTATGATTGTCTGCATTCTACTTAGCAGTCAGTGGGATCTCAGTGGGTATCGCTGTTACCCCCTTGAAGTTCGTTTTAGCAGCGTAAAAAGCTGTAATTGACTGAATTTGTGGTCTTTGGCAATTCTCTCGTTTTGACTGTGCAGGTGTGCTTCCAGGTTTTAACTCAACTGGAGAATCGTGTGTTCTGGCGCAGGTGAATGCCGGTACCACGCTGGCTTAGCAAGTTCACTGACGGAAGTCCTCTTATGGTATCCAGGATGGTCACGAAATGTAGTAGACAGTGAGTAAAGACCCGCCAGGAGTACTACCTCGTTATAACATTGTCGTGGCAGCAATTATCGCCATAACAACAAATCAAGCCATGGCTAGTTGGTGGATCTGAAGGTGATCGTATCTCTTAGTAGGGTCGAAATTAACTGGTTTGTGTTAGAAATAGACGCAGGAACGTGAGGACTTTAAATATTCCTCCTCCAAAGTCCACAGGCGTGGGATTGAGTTGCTAAAATTGGATGCCGCTTAGAATTTCAGCTGCTCTTCGTTTATCTAGGAATTTCAGCTTTATTTCTGATGGGAGTCTACATTTAAAGCAACGCTTAATATGCTTTCAGCTTTGGGATGTCTTTCATTTTGTCCTGATTCAAGCGGCATCTTTGTGCTATTAATCGTCTCTGCTTGATGCTTTAAACCTAGGCCTTAACCTCTATGCATACCATACATCAACAGTTGTAAATGTCACAACACCACTATAAACTGATGACCCAATATGGAAAATTCCAAATCTAACAGTAGCGTTCGACATTTACGGTGGTATGAGGGCTGGATATGTAGTGCCAATGTCCAATATGGTCAGGGGTTCTTGTCATGCTATGGAGATCAAATCAACTGGTACAGATACAATCTTGAATCTTGAGAACCCATAAAACCAAAGATATGGACCAATTCGGGAAGGATTACAAGACAAATTTCCTCGTTTTCCTCTTTGCTTAGCGCCTTGAGTTTACCATCCAGCAGTATCTGCTTCTGGGTAAAGGAAGTACTTACGAACCAACTGTACCAGGCATTGGAATCGTGTACACTTGAGAAGGCATTTAATCTCAGTCACTAGTTTCTATTGGAAAACTACCCTATCCTAGGTTTAGTCCCGTTCGGAAGCCGCATTTGTGGGAACAGGATAGCGTACAGACCATCTTCACATATGTCCCTGACCCATAGGCCATTACGTTGGATGGAAGTACTATTGCCATGGCCTTAAGTGTCCACGACACCGAAATTGCCAGTTAAACAAATAGCCAAAGCATTATGCTATCGTAGAATTTGGAACCACACAGTAAAATCCTTTCCAGCCTCTCTACTGCTTCTGAAATGATTACAAATAACTTCTCTTGTGATCTCAGCGTCTGTCATTCATGGCATTCTTAACACCAAATTTGTCGGAATCAATCAATACGGCAAAGGTGATTCGCAGTTCCATCTACACACCATCCAACTGTCAATCCTTAGTCGTAGTATTCCAATAAGCTTTGCTTCTCGAAGGAAGGTGGAGTATCTTGGAGCAATATAAAGTAGCCCGAATCCGACGTGAATCGCGCCATCAATGTAGGAGCGGCTTTGGTAATTTTCTCATCAATCTGCCACGGTGTTGCAGCGGATTCCCAAAAGCAAGTGACGTGGACTTTATAGTGGAGGAAGCCCCTCGGTAGGGGTCGGGAGCCTATTCCCGCGACCTTTAGAAAGAATGCAGTCAAGAAACTTGCCATTGATGATCATAGGCCTACAAATTCTTATTGAATGGGGAAGGTAGAACCTAGTCCAAGTAAAGCGGTTTTATTGGTGAGACTTTAAGAGCAACTTAACTAGAATATGTTGTCAAGACGTCCAAAGCCATCGTTACTTATGCCATCACCTGCGTCAAATTTTGCAAATTAAACAAGTTCATCAGGTCAGGACCTTAGGAATACTCTTTGTTTATTTTGCCATGATAATCAAGCCAATGCGGCGACAAATAGACCAAGGCGATAGGTGATAGATATGGACAAGAAAATTGTCCTCACGCTGTTAGGATAGTGCAAAATCAAGAGTTGTAATTTTGGCGGCGTTCCAATTAGCGAGAAATCGCATTGTATGAAAAGTAACCAAGGTAAAGGTAAATGCGAAAAGGGGTTTCGAGTTTTATTTCTAGTTTATTGCTGATGGTTTTGACTTAGCGCATATTTTATGGCCTTCTGGACATGATTTGGCTCCTAGGAAGTGTATTACAATTTAGCCATAGCCATCTCCATACCAGATTGCATACCACTCTAACCATTCAGATGACCACATCAACTCTTCTTTTTCAATATGAGACCATCGGAGCGGAGGGCGCCTTTTATCATAAGAGCGTTGAGGGAAAGTTCGCGACGAATCAAAGCCTATAAGAGGAAGGTCTCTCCTCCCGCTGAAGGTCGATGCTGCCTGCTCAGTCACATGATTTTAGCAAACTGACCTCATGTTACTAGAAGACGGAAAC